ATAAATAGATTTTTTAATACACATTTCAGTTTATTACTTTTGATTTCAGAACAGGTCTCAACTCAGACCTTTCCTTTATAGCTTCAGCTGAAACTGGCATTTTTATGTGGTTTATAACTATTCCTAACAATTTTAAATTATGTAAAAAAAAAAAAAAAAAATCTAGTTTACATGCTGAGAACTATTATAAAAATAAGGTTTAATAGTAAAAAAAATTCTAGTGGTACTAAAATTTTGAAAAGTTTTCTAATATTCTTTTTTATTTTATCTCCTCATGATGATGCCAAGTATATATTTCTGGCTGTGTTTGGTTTGGCAGTGTATAAATTGGATATTTTTTCTTCATAATTAAATTGTAGCTATAAAAAAACCCTCACCACCACTAAGAATATTTGACTAATTAGAAGGTGAGAAATATTTCAATGTTACATATTTTTACTACAAGTTATTTAAAAGCTTGCATTTTCATCAAGCTTCCAGAAAAACCAGAAATATTTATTGTATCCCCCAAGTGAAGCTTGAATACCTTTTCTCCTTTACAATTTTTGAATGACCCAGCAAGAGCTCTAGTAAAGCTTTACTGAACCAAGCTGCTAATAGTTATTTAATGTTGTTCTTCAGCCTGAAAGAATCTCTGTAGATTTTCCTTTTAATCTCTTTGAACTGCAGGCTCATAAACCTCTCTGATGAGCCCTGCCAGTGTTTTTCTCAGATCCTACAGTTGAGACAATGGAGCTGCAGAATCCTTTCACCTCTTGTTGTCAGACAAATCCAATAGAATGCCAGGTCACAGGGCCTGTACTTCTAAAGATTTAAAGATGTGTTTTCCAAGTTATTATAGAAAAATCAGATCATCATAATTTCCATCTATGTTCAGGAGTGTAAAATTCAATTTTAGAAGCTGAACACATACACATTAAAATGCATATGGATATTGCATGTATTTTTATTAATATAAAAAATAGACCTAAGCATTGGTATGAATATCAGTGCTGAATAACCTTTTACATCTCGAGATTATAAGAAACCTGAATTAGTTTCACATCAAAATAATCAGCAGCCAGGCAAGACTGGAAGATGCATGCTAACATAGTTAAAACAATGTGAAATAATACAAATTGCAGACTCGCAAATAAATTCCTTAAATTTAGATCAGGCTTCAGTTTCTATAATTAAATACCTGTCCAAGTCAATGATCAATTTGTATTGGCTTAAATCATGTTAGATTGGATTTCATGTTGAATAGAAGTTAGAAACAAGTCAGATGTATTCAGTTTTGAAAAATAAATGTCTTCTGATTGAAGCAGACAAACAAATAACAGCACTGTACAGTGATTGACAGTGAATACACTGGACTGAATGCTATGTTTGGAGGCTCACTCAGGGAAGAGGACAATCTAATTTAAAATTAACTTTTTAAAAAAATAACCTAATTATCAAATTGCTGTTGGGCATAATTGCAGATGAAACCTTAGATTAGCTGTGATTTGGTTGCAGTGATACATGGTCACATTTTGGAATTGCATGGAAGATGAATTTGGCTTGTTGAGAATTTTATAACTGCAGTAGTGGAGAAGGAAATCACAGCTGAAATCCTAAGCATCAGACCCCATCCTATGGGCCAGAATGAGAGATGGCGGCCTCATTTTTCAGCCACTCCTCTCATTTACAAAGTAATATATTTATTGCAGGAAGCACTTGGGGATTGGGAGAGTCTGTCCCTTCTGTCACTACTGCTCTCGTGTTTGCTTCCAGTGTGTGCTGAAAGTGACTGCATAGTAACCTCCTCCCTTTCACTCTCAAGCAAACATCCTCCTCTAACTTACATCCCTTTTTATGGGACACTGGCTCTGACAAATGCTGCTTTGTAAAATCTGTGCCTGGAAACAGACATCTTTGGAGCATGATCAGTTGTGTTGCAATATGTCATCTTTGGAGCATTAGCACGCTTCAGGGACATCTATAGACATCCCCGGTTGCTGTGCCCCAAGTTGGTGCACATATGCAAGCAAGGAAAACTTGGGTTTCCCTCCTTTGTATTTGCAGGTGCGCAGGAAAAACCCTCTGCAAGAAACTTCCTTGCACTTGCCTGCAAACATGGAGGGGGAACCTGAGTTCCTCCCTCTGCAGGTGCAGGCACACTTGAGAAAATCCCTCTGCAAGGGATTTTCCCACATGGGTCTGCAAGTGTGGAGGTGGTGGGGGATGGGTAGGAACTCACACAGAGGTCCTTTCTCTGCAAGCACACAGGAAAATCCCTCTGCATGCTGCATGGGTTGCATGCCCCAGAGCCCCAACTGTCCTTGCTTACCCAGGCACAACTCCTGGAGAGAGATGTCTGGACAAGTGGGAAAGTGATGCAGGCACTCTGCCCCTCAAGCCCATGGAGCCACTGCCTAGGGAGGATGGAGAGCCCAGGCAGCTTGACTCAGCCTGAGCTCTTCTGCTATAAGCAAACAGACATGGTCTGCGCCCAATTTAATACTGCCTTCTGTCGCGGCCACAAATTTGAACATTTGTGGCTGCAAAGGAAAGGATGGATCTCTGTTTGCTTTCACTTCGTACTGCCATAACAATTTTTATGGAGGCACAAAGGTGACTTTTGTTTCCCCCCTGTGACTGGTGGCCTCTTTTTTAAGTTTTATTTCCCTATACAAGTGAAGTAGAGAAATGATGGGACCTCCTAGTGTGGTCACCTTTTTTACCACTCTGTTTTCAACACTGAACAAAAGGTGCTGGAGTACAGTCCTCTGTAACTTCTTTAAAAACCTTTGAAAAAGGAGAAGGTGTTCACATCTTTCACCTTGCTCTTTCTCCTGTCCTTTGAAGAGAAGAGGTCCTATATTCTCCCTGCTTCATTAAAAAGGAGAAACAGTAATTATGTAGGTATTGAAATACATTCAAATAGCATTACAGTATACTTGAGATAAATTAAGAGCACTGAACTTTTCTTTGATTTAGGACACTATATTAGACACATTAAGTACTATTTTGAGGAGGTGGTAGAAAACTAAAGAATATTCAGTCCCACTCCAAATGACTAATCTCTGATTGAAAAGCACCATTATAGCTCTTGTTTAGCAAGACCAGAGCAAAACCAGCAATAAGAAATATTGGTTAATAGCTGTATCCTCCCTTTTGCCCCTCCGTGTCTTTTTTCTTCTTCTGACAGCAGCAAATTTGGATATCAGTGGATTAATTTTGTTTTAATCCTTACTTCTTTAATGTACTGTAGGTGTTCAGCATACATTAGATCATGGAGGTTTTATTGATCCTGTCATCTATAACTTGTCTGATATGTTTTAATTGCCTTCTTTATGACTAATTGAGATGTGATTCATTCCCAATGAAGCTATACTGTAGATTTCAGATAAATGTAGAATCATAATTTAGTTGTCTAAAACACGCAGGCAATTTTATAAGTCACTCTTAATATAATTGCTAATTAGGTTTTATCATCGTGTAAGAGGCTGATATATCATAGTTTCCTTTTATTATTGATATTTTACTATTGACAAATGATATTCATAGCTAACTCCTGAGATATACATGTGAAACTGATACTGTGATCAGTCCTTAAAAGAAAAAAACCACAAATTACACAGCTTTTGTTCAAAGATGCATCTAGCTGACATAGCTTAGAGAAAGTTCTGATTAGTAACTGTCATAGCCAGGCTTAGATAGTTGCTTCGTGCTGTCTTGCCACAGCACTCCTCTGCTGTCAAATTAGGACTTGAAATTGTGAATCACTTGTTCTACACAGTTAATATTTGAAATTGATTTATATAATATTGCTGTTTTATTCTAAAAAACACAAGGTATTTAACTTATAAAGTGCTAAAGGAGGCAATAGCTGCCAAAGCCAAGACATGTCTTGTCCTTGTGTAAAAATATAACTTTTGGGTACCTAAGGACCTATAAAGTAAAAAGTGTAAGTGTCTCCGGGGTTAGGCAGCAGCTCACAGGTAGAATTTGAAGGTTATAATTTTGGATTTAGGTACTAGAATTCTGCTGGAGTCCTGTTATGGATCTGTGTTGCTTGACCAGTAGCCCTATCGCAGGTGAAACCTACACTGTCAATTCTTAAGGCTTTTTGTAAATAGTGGGCACATCTACATGAGATACTACTGCACAGTAGGTTAGTCTTTTCTTTCAAGGATGGATTAGTAGATTAAACTACTGCACTGTAAAGCATCACCATCTACATGTGTGTAACATTTACTGAGTAGTAGTTTAGTCTTGGTCAGCCCAGACAGCAGGGGGTGGGGGAACTGTCCCCTCCTCAGGCAGCTGTTTCCCAGCCCTGTGCCCTGGGGCTGGGAAACAGCTGTTGGGGAGGGGATGATTTCCCAGGCCTTTGTCCTGATCTGCCAATTGAGGCACAGGTCTGAGAGGCAGATGCCTCAGAGATGGGACAGCACCCCCTGGAGCCCAGGCCTGACTCTAGTATCCCCTGCCAGACCTGAACTGGCACTTGGGGAAGCCTAGAGATCCCCCTAGCTGCTATAAGGGAACAGAGCAGGGCAGGAGTAGTTCTGCAATGAACGGTTCCCATTGGGAGCAAATTTGCTTCCGATGGGCACATGTGTAGACATGCTCCCAGGGAAAGCTTACTGTGAATTAACAGCACATGTACATGCACCCAGCATGTCTCAAATACAAGTATGCCAGCCAGTAAGGTACAAAAGCTAACAATTCTTCTAGTATGATGCATGAAACTATGTTGTGTCTTTTGCATCCCACATCAGGCTGCAAGGAAACTCCCATATAGAGACTTGCTCTCAGGCCAGTTAAGTTGGAAAAACAGTAAGGTTGTGCCATGAGATGCAAAAGCCTAATCAAGTCACTGTAAAGCTATTAAAAAAGACTGTGTTCACAGTTGGGACTTCCTAGCAGTGAGTAGATGTGGCTAGACAAGGAAATACTAATTTACAAGTAAGAAACAGAATTATCCTCTCTCCATCAATCCTAACAGAACATCTGTCACTGTTTCCTTGTAGAAGATGATCTCACACAGGAGTGGCCACTGGATGCTCAAATATATCTTGAAGACATGTCCTGGAATAATGGTACGAATGTTTCACTTTTTATATTGGAAATAAAGCAGTCTTGTATAGAGCCGTTGTGGCTGCTTTCTAAGTCTTTGAGTCCTTTTACCTTTCGCAATGTCTGTGATAAGTGGAAGAGTTCACTCACATTTTTATATGCTATTTAACATCTTATTGTTTTGTGTAAATTTCTTGGTGGTGTTAACTTTCTCTTTAAAATTCTTCTTACCTGCCAGGGTTTTTTCTTTTGTTTCTTTGGTTTTGTTATGTTGCTTTTCTTATGAATTTAACTTTTACGTTTATGGCTATTAATATGACTGCAGTACTCTCCACTGTGGCCTGCTATTTTTCTGTTTTTCCCTTCACTCCTATCTTCAAAATCAGGTGACATTGATTCCTGTTTTGCTGTTATTGAGTTGGAGTTGCCAATTGCCTTTCTGCAGTATTTGGTACTGCACTTCTTTGAGCCCTCTCACTTTTGGCTTTCTGACAAAAATTTGCATGGCTACCATGCAGCATCTGAGTTGTCTTCTACTATTACATTTGATTCTCTAGACTCTTTTCTCCTTGGTTGGTGGAGAAGTATCATCTCCCTACAAGGAGCACATCCCTCCTGGGTCCCCTGCTTTTGCTGTGACTATTCTTACACATAACTTTTTCCATTTTGACAAAATGTCACTTTTCTCTTACCCGTTATCTTAAAATCAGTTAGTTGATAAAAACACCCCAAGTTATTTTAAAAAAATCTTGGAAAGAAAAATGCTTCCTCCTTTTCTTTGCTTATTGCTGCCTTACTGTCTTCCTAACTTACTACTTTAACAGATCCACAAATTGTTCTGTTATTACTGTGGCCAATTTTTTAATTAATGGAAAACTGCACTAAACATGCTCTTTGACTTCTTAAGAGTTAAGGAACTCACATGGGGGAGGGAAGCATTCCTTGATTTTGGACCCTTCTCCTAGAACTAGTTCTGTGTTTTTCTCAAAGAATTAGTAGAGCTCCTGGCAGATGTCATACTTAAAATCTGATTAACCAGTTACCCGTGTCTTAAGTAATAACCTGGCCACACATTAATGTAATTAATGGCACAATAAAGCAAGAAGTCACAAAAATGTGTAATAACTTTGTGGCTGGGTCCCATCACACTTGTATTGCACGTGGGGCCAGGCATCAGCTGACTGGGGCTCCTGGCCTTGGGAGCGCATAAGACCCTGATCAGCTGACTGCCACTCCCAGCTTCTGAGATGCGTGGGAATCGAGGGTTGTACTGTGCCCCCATGGCTGAAAGCCCCAGTCAGCTGCTACTTGCTGGTACAGGTGAAGTGCAGGATCATGATCCTGGGCTCCCTTGTACTGACAATATTGTGCAATTGGGATCTGATCCCCAATCCCACCTCTTGCCATGCATGTGTAGCATGGCAGGAGATGCAATTTTTGGGATCACATATAAGATCCCATCATGCTTTTAAATGAATATCTGCCAGCAACCTAAAATTAAAAAAAAAAGGATGGGAGAAGAGACCAGAACCCTTGAAGCCTCCCCCTCTTGAAGCAGAGCACCCCAAACATGAGGCTCATTAGATCATACCTTCTCTTGTGCCCTCTCTTCCTAAACCCATGAATCTTGTATTCCTTCCTGCATAATGGAACATCTTCAGCAGGCTACGTGGAGTGACAGACCTATAGACTGGTGGTTAGAACACCTTCCTAGGAACTAGGAGACTAGCGTTTGAAACCCCTAAAGCCAAGGAAAGCACCTGAACCAAAATATGTTACTTCCCAGCCAGATGCTCTGACTATGAAGTTATTACATATGTCATGGTTTGTTATATATGGGTAGGCTTTTCATTCAGCAATTTTTTTGGTAAAAATAAAGCAACTATTACTACATTTTGTGAGAAGTCTGGTGTTATCTTGGAGCTAGATACCTACTGGGTTGGGCCAGTTAGGGTCATAAGCATTATTCCACCTCACTTTTAGATCCTAATAGGGCTTAAGCAAGAGCCAGGTGCCTAGTTGCAAAGGGTAGAATAGTTCTAGGCACACACCAGAAACAGAACTAGAAGCTTAGACATTTTTAGATCAAAGAGGCACCTACTAATTTTTAAATATCTCCAGAGTTAGGTGGCTCCTGATGGGTGAGAGGGAAGGGTTTGGAAAGCAGTTTTTAAGTGACTTAGGCAGCTAAAGGTAATTCCTCAATTTGACTTAAGGTTTTGCTTATTTGTGTTTCATTTTTGTCTCAACAGATGAACAATGTTATACTTTCTTATGTCGGTGTGGTGGGAAATACACTATCTCCAAGAATGAAACTAAAGAGGTTTCCCTGGTTTGCTGTGACACATGTTCACTAATTATAGAGATCCTTCTCTGAATAAGCAACTGCTTCACTCAAGCACAATGAAAATGATAGTTTCATCCAGCCAAATATTCCTTGACACATTTATTATTCTGTCCACTGAAAAGGTGTGCTCTGTAAGTACCAGCTTAGTCTCAGATCCAAGAAAGCCATTTTTTAAAGTTATGAACAAGAGCTATTAATGCTTCTAGTAAATAATAATAATAAAATCCTTCTCTACTCTTAATATAAGGTGAACTATCAGGTGTGTGAAAATGGTGCTAGTTTTCATTGATTTGAAAACCTTATTTACTTACCACAACCATGACCGCTCTTAATTTTTAATTAATTAACTCAGGTTCCATCTTCTAATCTAGATGTCATGCTTTCCTCAACTAACAATTGAGGAACATTTCCTCTCAACCTGAGACCATATGAACTGCAGTTGGGGCACTACCATCAAAGAAGTTAAATCCCGTGTAATAGCCCAGAAAAACAAGTTACTCTGCAATCAATTAACATGAGATGTGATCTTCTGAAACAGAGACTATTAGAATGTGAATATATCTAAAGGTAGAATTCTCAGAAAGCAACATGCAATGTGCTAATAAACCATAAGTCACTATATACTGGTGCCCTGTAAGATTTTTTAATTATTGAAGTCTTTCATAAATTGCATACTGTATGTCCAACCACCTGCTAGTTACAGCATTGCTAGTGGTTCTGCCTCAAGGATTTACATGGTGATACGTAAAATGTCAACCAGTGTTTTGTTCTAAAGTCACTTATACTTTAAATGTTCCATTCATAAAACAATTGGAAATGTTAAAATTTAAGATGCACATTTTGCTCTTTTGTATGTATAAGAGGACTCACTATGAATGGTCAGCTGAATAAGCAAAGCATTTATTTCCATTGGTGACTCCAGTGCACTACTTTGTACATTTTAATAAAATGGGACTATGGTCAGAAAAACTTCGATATCATTCATTCTCGCACAATGTTTTTATATTTATTGTAAATAAAAAGTTCATTTGAATTTGTAGAAAAAGTTAAAGCTAGTAGAATTCACATAGCTGTCTTAATCATCAACAAATCTATGGCCATTGGGGCTAGCGCGTAGAAATCCAAAATCATTCAGAGGCCATATCTGTAAAATAAAATGTTAAAAATTAAATAAATCATTACAACTTTTTAATTTCAGTGTTTCTATACTGTCATTTTTGTTGTAAGTGCTTTACATATATTACATCAACTTTTAATTATTTGATTATAAGGGGATTGTACAAGGAAGAGATTTACTTACCTGTGAATTTTCTTTACTTCCTTTTATGTCTGCATGTACCTACTGGGAGGTATTAAATTGTACAGGCTCAGTGAGGTAGAACAAAATTTGACAGTAGGACTGCCCTCTTTGGGGAGTCCCAGAATTAAGGTTTCCAGAGCTGGAAAATACTAGTAGAATATGAAGTCACCTAACTTCACCAGGTAAACCTTGCAAAAGAGCCTTAGGAAGCAGAAAGTATTCCTTTAAAAAACATTTTTTTCTATTTTTTTTCTGGAGAGTCAACAACTCCAGTTCTGAGACAAACTAATTAATTACACACCTCCAGATTACTGCTAGGCTTTCCCCACAAAACTCCATTTGAAGACAGTTTTGCAAATTATTCATGAAAATGTATACTGATACCCATACAACTGCTTGACAGATTTCTTCACTTGATCTTAGCCAAAAGGCCAAGGAGCACAAAAAAACTTTCTTCCCTGCAGAAAAGCTGAGCCCCACAGGAAATGGATTGTACAGTTAACCAGTGAATTCATTCCAGACGTTTTGCTGAAACTTACAGATCACTCCTCTATCTTGCAAACTGATGAATTAGAGGCCTTCTTCCCTTTTAACTGAAGAATATAAAATCTGCATGTCAATAAAGTTGTGTGTGCTTGAGGTAGATTAAGTGCTCTATTGACATTCTCTTTATGTTTAGTCTTCTTAAAACATTTAGAATTAGCCACTTCCTGCATCCTGTGGAAAACTGTATTTATTAAACAAAAGATAGGTCCATCTACAGAATCGCACTGTCCTTAGGAAAAATATAATATCCTCCTATTTGAAGTGACTGCTGCTAAGATATTTCTTGGGAGACAGAAAGCAGAGTGAAAGAGTCTTGTGGTTCAAATCACTGCTCTGCTAAGACTCCTAACAGCAAATTCAAGTTTCCAGAAGAGGAAATTCCATATCACAAGAGGGATGGTGAGTGTAGCTCTTCTAATGATTCTTTTAAATGGTGATTTGAAATCTTTATGGTTCAAAATGTTCTCTGTGCCTGCAACCTGTCTTAGTAGTGTATTAAGCTTGGGATCTTTAGCCGGCTCATCCGAATTCTTCAGACATCTATTATCTTTACTGTCTTGATATTCATAGTATCAGTACTGGTGTTTGGGTCCAAATGAGAGAATTCACTTTTGAGTTTTGTCTTTCTGGTAGAGGGTTTTAATAATGCCAAAGTTTAGTTGTGTGCGCCTCCCCATCTATCATTAAGTTGATGAGAGGTGCAACAGAAATTTCTGTTGATATGTCAAATAATCTATTCCGTGAGGAAAAAAGTGACCAACTTTGGAACAGTAATTCTCCACTGCTGATTTGTAATTTCTGGCTGGTCTTAGAAAAGGAATTTCAGGAGCACTATTATACGAAATCTAGCTATTATGCTAAATGTCTATGCATGTAAGTGGAATCAGGACTCCTGGTAGAGGTGATGTTTTATTAGACCAACTAGATTTTTGCAAAAAAAAAATCTTTACCTGCAAGCTTTCAGGCACAAGCATCCTTCTTCAAGCATAAGAGAAAAGATTGCAAATGCTCTCCCAGGTAGAAATGAAAGTTCATATTTCATAGGAGAGTTATGCACATCTGGAAATTCCTTTGAATGCTACATGATTTTTAGGGATGTCTGACCAAATGACACTTGAGCAGTTACATGCGTGAGGACAGATATTTTCCTTGCAACAAATGCTATTATCTTCCTTGATAGCTGTGACCTCATCTAAATGCAGAAGTCACTGACATGGTGATTGCTTTACATTCACCAGAAATCTAAGTTCCAGTCTTCTTTCTACCCTAAAGAGCTCTCTCTTTAAACAAAGACCTTATGAGATCCTCCTGTAAGTAGGGATAAATTGTAATTCCCACTTTTTGAGAATGATTAGTAAAAATACAAGGAGAAGACTGGTGTGGCAATCACAACTCCAGGTGAGAGAGACCAATAATGAAAATGTGTTTTGTTCTACTGAAAGTGTAGAAATGTTAATGTGTCTCTGGCACATTCACAGAGGCCTCCTTGTGAACTCAGTGAAGTCATGAAAGCCTGGGGTGATGCAATAGATGATGATAGACTTTGGTGTTTCTGTTCAGACCTGTATAGACCTGGTGAACTTGTTGATAGACTTGCAATATAAGATGGCTACTATCCTCCTATTCCTTAGGACCACAAAGAATTTTGAATAAGCTCCACAAAATATCTTGCTATTGGCATGAGGCAAGACCTGAGCAGGTGTTTGAATGCTTCTATTTTTTGGTGCATCTGTCTGTTGGTCTAGGATAATTTGTTAACAAAGAACTGGAAGGGACCAGCTGGCTTATGGAGTCTAGTCACTCTGCTATACAGCAATTATAGTGTAGTGGATGTTTTGTCCACAGTAGGATCTGTTTCAGTTCTTTCTGCCACAAGCCATCTCATGACAGCCTGAACATTTTTATAACAACAAGAAACCAGAATTTCAAAAGTAGCATGGCAAAGGAGAAGAGGAGGACAAGGATGCCTATCCTGCCTCAAGCTCTGGAGTGGCAGGACATTTCTTAGATAAAATATTCCTATATAATCTTAGGAAATCAGCCATATAGGAACACTACAAAGAAAAATTTAAAAAAGCCCAGGCCCCTTTAAGTTCAACGACAACCTTGCAGAATGAGCAAAAGTCTCCATCATGTGCAGCCTCATATAAAAGAAGTGAGACACTGAGTTAGGTAGATGGTTCAAGAAACTTCCAAGAGAATCCTATTTGAAGTTTCTTAATCTTTTGCAACAGGCCCTTTTTCTCCCTCTTCCAGAAATCTCTCAGCTTCCTATGGATAGGCAACTAAAAAAACCCCAAAAGTTAAAGATGCATAATGAAGGTTCTTTTTGGATCAGTATGACTGAAGAGACTTGGTGTTTCTGTAGACTCCTCTACAGCTGGCTATTCGGCTCTTCATGCTGTTGAATGGGGAGTGGAGGAAGTTGAAAAACAAAATCCACATCCATATAGCCATGCCATAATTGACAGTGGGTAACAGGTCTGTTCCATCTGCAGTCCACCTGCTCAAGACAACTCTGAAGCAAACCTGTCTCTGAAACCCTTGACCAATTGTGCTAATTTAGTTTTAAAGTAATCCTAGGACCCTCCATTTAGTCTAGTTCATATTCTTTTATAGTTCTATCCTGAAATGATCAGTTATAAAGAGGAGATCCATAGTCTGCAGATGACTTGGGTTCTCTACTGAAGGGTAGTCCTAGCCTCAGGCTAGCAGTCAGTCTTTGTTCTGCCTCTAACAAAAAAGAGATAGTAGGAAAATCCAAGCTGCAGCATGTCACACATGGAGGATTTCAAAATAAGTACTTAAAAAAAAAATCATGATTTCTCAAGAAAACTTGCTTAATTACATTCATATTGAGAAACTGAAAAAGTTCTGACACCTTGATTTATTCTTTAAAAAAAATAAACATAGTAAGGGTCATTGTAATTAACTGTTACTTTTTCCTTCCAATGTATTACATTAATCTTAACTATTAGTAGGGACCTACTTAATTTGTGGTTTTGTGGAAACTGCGAAATCAACAACAAAAACTTAATAGAACTAAAATGTTGGCTCCCCAGTGAGGGCAGCCTGCTATCAAGATGGCAGCTACGCCCTCGTCCCCTTCCCCAGGCCTCTCCACCAATCCATGCCAAGGGGCAGGGCCACTACAAATGCTTGTGAAACTGGCTCTGCGTGTCACAAGTGGACAGTGCAAAACCCTTTGTCTTGCCGCAATTCCAGTAGGTCCCTAATTAGTAGCCATCTTAAAATGTGAATGTCTGCACACACAAAGAAGACCCAGGTATATTCCCTGTAGTTTGAAAGAAGAAACATGAATTTTATATTATGCATGTTTGTTTATAGTACCCAAGTCTTTGAAAGTTATGATAGAAACTGATGTGACTTGATTCAGTAGCTGTTTTTCTCCTCAGCTCTCATACATTGATTTAGCCCAATCTATAGGGAATTAAAGGGATTGACCTTCTCTTTTGAAGTGGTGCCACATGTGTACGTTTTGACTTGAGTCCAGCATTCAGGGAGTGAGTTGAACAGATTATATTTGGGGCGATTTGTGCCCAGCCTTGGCTTGAAGTGAGTACTGTCACAGAAAACTCCCCTTCAAGTGGTTTTGCTGAGTCTCCAGGGACTTACATTGTAGGGAAC